CTATACCTTATCCTGACTTGTGCTGAAAAATTCAACATACTCAAATATCAATGTTCTTTCCTATATACTGATTGGTATCAGATATTGTTCATTAGATATAGATAAAACGATCCAAACATAAAATATAATTGATAATTTTCTCCCCCTTTTTTCTACATGTTGGAAAAGGAGTGTGTTTTGGTAAAAACCATACTGTAATGTAAAAGCATGGATCAAAAAGAGTAATTTATGTACCTCCCAGCTAGACAACTTGCTAAACTGGTTGAAAATTGCATTTCAAGTGAGATTTTGGGGTTCCTATATAAGTATATCAATTTCCCTAGAAATAAATGAAGTGCTAAGAAACCCAATAAAACATCAAAACTTACTATCCCGGAAGTTTGGTAGTACAAAGCTTTAATTTCATACCAAATTTACTCCAAATATTTTACTTATTGACAAAGTTACAGCTATGCGTAGGAACTATGTTGTTTAAAATACTTTCTTGTATGTCCTTTCTGACCGTGTCCCAATTAGTGGTTCTATACCTTAAAGTCAACTGAAGAATATCTTCTATTGACTTTACCCACGTTACTTCCAGAGAAAATAAATGACTCATATTCAGTTATAAATCTAGAGTTAGTGCAGTTCATAAAATCGACTTTATTGTAAAATTTGAAGGAATTCCCAAGGGCTTTCTGTTCAGAAAAATATTGTATGTGTGAATTAATATTGATACCGTGAACAATGTTTTAGTTGTAGAGACTGTGAAGACCTCCGGGTACCAGACAGAAGAAGCTTAAATTTAGAAGAACTCACTCCTTAGTAACATAATCATATCTTATTATAAGTAGAAGAACCCAGTTTTTAATTATAAAATAAATGTTAGTTATAGTACTGTCTATATAGAAAATTTGTGCTACTGTTAAAAACGTTATTGTTGTTAAAAATGTCTAGAGAATTTTAACAAAAACCGGTTTTATATGCCTGTAAGGACATAGGCAGGTACTAATGTGGTATCTTGTTGTCTTTCAATTGAAAATTTTATCAAAATGTTTCACATAATCTTTGGACTGACACCAAGATAGTTTTTAATGTTAATAATTTTCTCATTTATTTAACAAAGTTTTTACATTATCTTTTATATAATTGACAGTGTAATCCCGTTTGAGTAGGTTACTGTGAGTACTAATTGTATTTTTAATCCTATTTGGGTAAATCCTTTGATTTACTGTGGCAAATTGTGTTGTCAGAGACTGATATTTGTGACTATTTTTAGATTAACATTGGCAAGTATAAAAGTGCATTACTTTTGTTTCTTATTGAATGTTATACCTGAATCAAGCCTGAATTTGTAGATGAATTATTTTGTCATATGCAATTTCACTGAGCATTTTCACAGTTAATCCCTGGATTGTATCCTCTTAAAATATTTGACTTTCACCAATTAAAATTGCAGTTATAAATGCATTAAATTTAAATTTTACTTTTTAGAGTTATGGAACTTTGCATTTTAAACTTAATTGTTTTATTGGGAAAGTCATTAGTTCAATTAGCCCTTAGATCCGTTTGGTATCACTTGGCATCAATTGTCATCTGCAGGTTCATTGTATTCTTCTTTAAAAATCTTCATTTCTAAGATTGGCATAAAATCTGGTTTATCTTTTTAGAGTTATTGCCCTTGAAAATTTTCAGAATAATCGGACAACCCATATAGATGTTGTTGACCTAGAAATGTTTATTTTCATTGATTTGATAACAACATCTCAAGAACTTCTGAAGGGATTGTATTGCATTTTGAGATAGTTAACAATTGTTGTTATAAGAGTGCCAAACAGCAGTTCTTTAAAAGGTCACTTACGGAGGTCAAATTTTGCATTGAAACAGTATGGAAAATACTATTTGCATTTCTTTCTCAAGTACAGATACAGGTGAAATCAGAACAATCCACATAAATTTGCATGTTTTTGACTATTATGTTCAAATCTTAATAGATATATGAAGCTGTACACAAAAATAGAAACTAGGTCTAAATATTACTTATGGTCCAAGGTGATTGATTAAGATTCATTTGAATTCTATTGCCAGTCATTAACCTATCATGTCTGTTTGGGTTGCACATGCTCACTTATTTGTTTCAATATAACAAAACTAAATACAACTGTCAGACAAGTGAGAGGTTTAGCTAGCTATAAAACCAGGTTTAATCCACAATTTTCTCAGGAAAATGCCTGTACCAAGTCAGGAGTATGACAGTTCTTTTCCATTCTTTCCATTGGTTGATAAAGTCTAATGTTTAATTATGATAGTTTCAATGGATTCTATTGAATTTACCTAGGAGTTTGGTATTTTTATAATGTTTTTTTAGCCTCTAGTTTACTCTTGGCACAGCAGTGTGTATTGGTGTCAAATATGAAAAATCATGCATTTATTGGTTGTACAATATGTGTCTAAATATGCCAATCCTCAGATCTCTGTGATGTATGATATTTTTCCCTTTTTTATTATTCTTTATAAAGAATTTGTTATAGTTATGTTTTTTATGGATATCTTCATTGTATTAGATAGTTTTTTTTGGTATTTTTAATAATTGTGAATGTAGAGATGAGGGTCTGGATGGGGTTTACATAATAGAGAATAATTGGCCAAATCTGCACTAAAATGGACCACAAAAAGTAAAAATTGGAGAAAAATAGGCTAAAAATATTAAAAAAAAGAATAATAGGTATTAAAACTTAAAGTAAAATGACCTTAAAAATTTAAGAATACAGAAATGGATGACTACCCATCCAGACCCTCTTAGATGGTTAAAGCTTCACTTGATTATTTAAGCACTGGAGACACAATTCAAAAAAGTTTTGTTATTTTTTACTATAAGCATATTTTTTAGGTCTATGTTTTTCAAATTTTAGTGTATAAAAACCAAAACTAAATGTGATTTCAAAGAAAGATTTTTTAAAACATTCAAATCAAAAAAGTATTTTCACTCAACAGGAAATTAACATAGAAATTAGTGCCAAAATATGCTTAAGCTTTATCCTTTTGCCAGGATTTATGTCATATATGTATCAGTCTAATGTTTTAGATAGATGTCTGTAATAATGTTTATATAAAAAAATGGATTTCTTCACAATAAATATTGTTTCTATTATGCAATTTTTTTATAAATTATTCAGCTTTGTCCAACAGTTTTCAACCACTTAGTTTCGAATGAAGACATTGTTGCAGGCCGTATGCTTACATACTCTTTATTTGAACTTTTTATAAAAGTTTTGATCTGTTTAAGAAAAAAAAGTCAAACACAGTGAATCAATATTGTATGATTTTTATCATTGGAGAATGTGGCCTTGGGCTGTTTTCTGTTTTTTTGTCAGGTTGTTGTCTCTTTGACACATTCCCCTTTTCCATTCTCAATTATATTTGGTAGAACTAAGAAATCAAATATCCACTAAACTACAATTGTTTCTCAATCCACGAAAATAAATGAATCCACATTAAATGACCTGAAAAGTTAGAAACAAAAATAAACACATTAAAGAGAATCAAGTGAAACCTAATATAATATTTGTATTGGCAGATTTCACATTTGATTAAGTTACAGGGCGACATTTTTTCTTTAATATTTGGTTCCAATTTTATTCAGGTTTTTAATTTTCGGATGTTCTTCAAAAGTTGTTTATTTTTGTCAGTTGTTATAAATGCTTGTTTTTGTATGTTACAATAACTTATGATTTCACTAAACGTTTGGAGATCAGCTACTTTACAACCTGTATTTTTTAACCTGGAAATTTTGAAATATAAATGTTTTGTTTGGTTTGCCATATGGATCGAGTCTTATAATGGTGACCTATAGTTGTTAACTTTTACCTCATTAGGTCTCTGGCGGAGAGTTGTCTCATTGGCAATCATACCACATCTTCTTATTTTTATATCTAGATATAATCTAATTAATGACTTTAACCATTCTTCTTGCTTTGGAAATGATACTGTTCTTAATAGGTCACTGGGTCTTATGTCTATTTTTTTGTTGTTGCTTCATCCACCTGGTTATAATAGATAAATAGACATAATATATGTCCATAGAAATGTGGTCTTGTTAATTGAAATAAGATTTAGGTTAAAAGGAACAAGTTGTTCATAATAAAAGTATACCTATTAAAACTGTAGAAGAAGGAAATTTATTTATATATATAAAAGATAAATTTGGCCTTCTGAAAGTGCAAAATATGCAGCTTGCCTGTTTACATACAAAATATAAGGATGAACAATTCATGAAGTAAGTTGGCTGCCACATTTATAGAGTGGAAAATGCAAAATACAGTTTGCTCCTAGGATGGTCATTCTGAAACAGGAAAATTATGGTATGTATAAATTGAGACCAGTGCTATTACATGTTTACCTGCTTTGATCTATCAGCAAGTAAAATTGTTCATTATTTACCAATTTTCGTGGGTACAGAGGAATCTCAATTTTAAATGTTCAACGAAATACAAGCTTTCTATATGAATGTGTGTAGACTTTGGCATAACCACAAAATCAAATCTACACAAAAATGTAAGTTTTTGTCAATCCACGAAAATTGGTCCAACGAAAAATAAATGAATCCACAGTACGGTAAGTAAATGTTTATTTTTTTGTTTTGTAAAGTAAAGAAAAAATGCTGTGACTATATACATATATATAATATACTGGTACAGATTTTGTATCTATTTGCAACTTTCAGAAAATAATTTAAATTTAAAATAAATAATATTGCAAGAAGTTGATAGGACAACCATGTGAGGTTAAAAAAGAAACATATTAATGATGCAAACAATTCAAGAACTTTATTTAATTGATCCATAGATGTCATAAATGACCTCCAATTGCTGAAACATTTCACTTTAATACTTAAAACGCATTTAAGGTAAAAATGTAGTTTAAAGATTCTGAAAAAAATTTTAAATTCTGAAAAAAGTTTATTTTAGCTTATATATTTAAGCCTTCTGAATATTTAACTTGAAACTTAATTTTTTTTGCAGAAAAATATAAAGATGATTTTGAATCTGATGACGAGCCAAAGCCTGTTAGAGCAAGGAGGTCAAGGTCAAGTTCATCTAGCTCCTCGTCCTCAAGGTCAAGATCCAGGTCACCACCTCCAAGATCTCACACCCCTACACCAAAGACAGAAGAAGTGAATGACAGAGAGATTTATGGACTACGGGCAGATGAAGATTTGAAGAAAGATTTGTCTGATGATGAAAGATCAGATAAACCTTCCAGAAAGGTGATGGTCAAATTTTATAAAAGTAAAAAAAAAGTAAAGTGAAACCTGCTATAAAGGTCACCTCTATATTCAGTCAAAACCTGTCTTGTCAGGCCACCCACTCCTTGTCCTGCTGGGAAAATATCTATGCATTTTAAACCTCAGTAAAAAGGTCACCTATCTTATAAGGTCAGTTTTCTCTGGTCCTGAGGGTGAACTTTATATACATGTTTGACTGTAATGACAAAGAGGAAAAAAAGACACTTGAGGGGAAAATTGAAAACTGCATGTTGAAGAAAAACTCTCAACGCTATTGCAAAAAAAGAAACATCAAATTACAAAAAAACTTCACAGAAAACTAGAGATATAACAACTGCAACACGACTCAGGTGTTAAAAAAAATTCTTCAAATGCAGTTAGGGCTATGTTAGGAAAAAAAATGTATGAAAGGGTTTCGACGCCACGTAATATGTTTTCCTGTTGGTAACAGCAGTGGAAGCAAATACAAGAATTCTGTTACAAGTGAAAATAAAAAATATCGGTGGTGTGGTATAACAGAGTGTTGTCTCCTACATACATTTTAACCTGGATTAGTCCTGTCTCCCACATACATTTTAACCTGGATTAGTCTTGTCTCCCACATACATTTTAACCTGGATTAGTCCTGTCTCCCACATACATTTTTTTACCTGGATTAGTCCTGTCTCCCACATACATTTTTTTACCTGGATTATTCCTGTCTCCCACATACATTTTAACCTGGATTAGTCCTGTCTCCCACATACATTTTAACCTGGATTAGTCCTGTCTCCCACATACATTTTAACCTTGATTAGTCCTGTCTCCCACATACATTTTAACCTGGATTAGTCCTGTCTCCCACATACATTTTTTTACCTGGATTAGTCCTGTCTCCCACATACATTTTAACCTGGATTAGTCCTGTCTCCCACATACATTTTAACCTGGATTAGTCCTGTCTCCCACATACATTTTAACCTGGATTAGTCCTGTCTCCCACATACATTTTAACCTGGATTAGTCCTGTCTCCCACATACATTTTAACCTGGATTAGTCCTGTCTCCCACATACATTTTTTTACCTGGATTAGTCCTGTCTCCCACATACATTTTAACCTGGATTAGTCCTGTCTCCCACATACATTTTAACTTGGATTAGTCCTGTCTCCCACATACATTTTTTTACCTGGATTAGTCCTGTCTCCCACATACATTTTTTTACCTGGATTAGTCCTGTCTCCCACATACATTTTAACCTGGATTAGTCCTGTCTCCCACATACATTTTAACCTGGATTAGTCCTGTCTCCCACATACATTTTAACCTGGATTAGTCCTGTCTCCCACATACATTTTAACCTGGATTAGTCCTTTGTTATATCGAAATTCATGAACCAATTAAAATTTTTTTGAAACACCGCATTAAATTTCTACACATATTTATATAAGGATGTATATTTAAAAGATCTTTTCTTGATCATCAACTTTCCCTATTTTCATTTCAGCTCCAGAGTTATTCTGACGATGACGAACAGCCTGAGAGTAATAAATGGATTCAGCGTCCAGAACCAGGTAACGTGTTGATGTTTGCCACTGTTTCACACACTAAATCTATGAGGGTCTGGATGGGGTTGACAGAATAGAGAATAATGGACAAAAAGAGCTGATTAAAGGGCAAAACAAAAATAAATGACAAAAACAAAATGATAGTGAATAATGTGGTGCTAGAATATAAAGAATAGAGAAAAATGGTCAAAATATGAAAGAATTATAAAGAAATAAAGAACCCCTAATCCAGATCCTTATCTATCTAAGCCACAGGTTTTGATGGTTGAGGATTTTAGGAAATAGTACAAGTAGTTATACCTTACAAGATAATGCCAAAATAAAAATACTTCCATTAAAGCATTAAAGTACAGATAAAATTTGTTTAGACTTGTCACGAAAGGAATATAACCATTGTAAACATATTTACACAGCAAAATATTAGTGTAATACCACTAAAACATAGTACATCAAATCTGGTTTCATGTTAGAAAGGGTCAGATTAAAATATTTCCTTGAACTTAACAGTTGTAAAAAAATAACCCTGCATTTCATTGCAGAAAAAAAGTCATAAACATATATTTTGGGTTTTTCAAAGCACCATTCATTTTTTTATTTGGTGTTCCTATTACATATTTTGGAAACTTGATGTGACATGGTTACTAAAGCTTGTAAACAGGAAAAAAAGGTCGAAAGTTGAACGAACCTTACACCAAGCTGTGTGTTGACAGGCTAGTGTTCACTGTAAATAAACTACTTAAACCACTCGGCCAACGAGGTACCTATTTTGTCTTTTTGCAACTAAAATTATATCGTCATGGCAGTAGTAATGGAGTATTGATTTTATCTGATGTTATTTTTTTTAGAAACAGTGAAGAAGACCAGAAGAGGTAGCACCAGTAGCAGCAGTAGTAGTTCTAGTGCTAAAAGTAGAGATAGTCAGAAACAGTAAGTAAATATAAATAAATAGAGATAATAAAAAAGAAAAGATATGGGGTATACATCCATGACACAAAATCAGTACATGCAAATTAAAAGAACAGAGCTTTTATTGCTGTTTTTCATCTCAAAGTCATAGTGAGGCCTTCAACACGGAGCAAAAAAACTCTCACCTCACTGCAAGTATAAAAAGAGATGTTCGTTTAAATCAATCTGTAAACGAATATTACTTTTTGCAGGCGTATTTTCCTGACTGTCATTGTAGATAAATAACCTGAATATAAATTGTTTTAGATTTCCTTTTACTGTTGATTCATTATTATTAGTTGGATAGCAATTTTAGCGAATTTTGTTGGTACAGGTAAACCTCGAATTGATATAGACCCCATTCACACTTGGACATCTAGCGCATTTTGTTGGTACAGGTAAACCTAGAATAAGTATATTCTGAGTATTAAAATTTTTGATAGACTTGAAGCAAATTTTGGCAAATCACTGAAATCAAATATCCACAAAAATGCAGGTTTTCCTTAATACATAAAAATTGGTACCCACGAAAATAACTAAATCCACAGTATATGAATACACAAAATTAGAATATCGATAAATCAGATACAGTACATGGTATACAGGAGCTGCGGAACTGTAGCTCATAGGTCCTTATGATATTTTTTGACAATAATTTCCACAGCTAGGTATACAGCAGCAATCCAACAAAACAATTTTATAGGAAGCAACCAACACCATATTGGATCTGATTTAAATGGTTGTGAGTTGAAAGTTTTAATTAAAATACAAGGACTACCAAAGAATTGACACAGTCAACACTGGATGTTAATCAAGCAGTAATCAATCAGTGACACAGTATAAGATTGACTTGAAAAATATTCAATAAAATGAGTCTGCAAAAATGACACTTTGTGAAACAAAACACAAAGTTGTGAAAAGCAGCTTCCCTTAAATAGAGTACAGTGTTTTAATTATATTATGTTAGTCGTGTAAACTTTTATACTTAAAAAATACAATGCCCCAATTATTTTCTGTGACTTGCATACTGTTGATAGGAATAAAACTCGGTGAGGGCAGTTTGCAAAAATGGAACTTAATAAAATAAAGCACTCATAAAGTAAGAAAAAAAGTTTTTGATATATATGTAAGATAAATATTGTTAAATCAGAATTTATTGTAATGTTTTTACTATTGCCAAAATTTCAACAGGAAAGGTTTAGCAAAAATAAATTTTGCATTTTAAATAATTATTACATTAAATGTGTGCAGTTTTTCATGATATCATAATAATTAACTACTTATTTTTATTCCCCCGCTTTAAGGTTCACCCTTGTCCATCCATACATCTGTACGTACGTCCCAAAATTGGTTTCCATTCTCTAACTTTAGTTTCCCTCAACCAAATGTTATGAAACTTATACACAGCTCATTACCACAAAACTCAGATCAAGTTCAAATTTGGGTGGAGTCATAGCCTTTTACTGTTCTGGAGTTATGCCCCTTTATAACGTCTCCATTTGTTTTCCATTATTCCACAATCACAATAATGAATTCACGTAAAATAGAAATGTCTTTCACCAGTATAATAGGCCTGGTAAATAGTAGCTTTATGTTTTAATATTTTGTAGGAAAGAAGAAGAAAGAAAGAAAGAGGAAGTAAAAGCTACTGTTGTGTCAACGCAAAGTGAGCCCATTGTCGAGAAAAGTAAAGAAAGGAGGTCATCTTCATCCTCATCTTCTTCATCTTCTTCATCATCTGCTGATTCCAAAAGGGAAAAATTAGAGAGACAAATGTCTGAGGAGGAGAGAAGGAAGAAGGAACAACAAAATAGGATTGAGCAACGTAGAGAAGAGGAGAGAAAACGTGACGAAGAAGCTAGATTGAAAGAAGAACAGAAACAATTAGAACAAGAGAGAAAAAGACGGGAGGAAGATGAAGAAAGAAGAAGACATGAAGAAGAATCTAGAATAAGAGAAGAAAAGAGGACGGCTGAACAAAAAAGGAGAGAACAAGAGCTAGAAGGGGAGAGGAGAAAGAGAGAAGATGAAAGACAACAGGAGCAAGCAAGGAGAGATGGTTATGCTAAGAGGAAAAAGATTGATTCTACCCCTCAAATGGATTATATTCCAGATGCACCAAGTTACTCTAAAATGTATGAACAAGAGGTTGTAGAAGCTTATAGACAGGTAGAGGCAGAGAAACAGAGGGAGGTCGTGAAAGAGAAACCAAAGTCAACAAGGACTAGAAGCAGCAGCGACTCGAGCAGTGCGTCAGAGAGATCTACGCCAAAGCGTGTTGCTTCACCAAAGGTTGCTAGTCGTAAAGCATCATCCAGCTCTAGTAGCAGTGATTCCGATACGGACACAGAGAAAGAAAAAGGTTCAAAGGTCACCCCTCCAAGGACTCCATCTCCAGCAAAAGTCACTCCCCCAAGGTCGAGGACTGTTTCATCCAGTTCTAGTTCAAGTAGTGATACAGAAACGGAAACTGATGCTGAGAAAAAGGTTGTTAAATCAATAACCCCTGCTTCAACTCCCAAAAAGTCATCTGATAGTTCTAGTAGCGAAACTGAAACTACTACAGACACTGACCAAAAATCTCCAAAATCTATCACTCCACCCGAGACTAAAGTTATAAAGGAAGAAAATGAATCTTCTAGCAGTTCTGAGAGTGAAAGTAACAATGAAAAAACACCAAGGGCTATTACACCCCCACGTCCTGGAAGCACTCTACCACATCCAATAGAAGCTAATGTTGTAACTACCAGTAGACCCAAAACTGATGAATCAAGTTCAAGTTCTGATAGTGAAACTGAAACTGGTACCGAAACTGGTACTGCCACAGAGACTGAAACTGATAATGAAAAACTTAAAAAGGAAGTGGAACCACAAAAGGAGAAATTATCTGTTATTCAGGAGAAAGAGAAGGAGAAAAAGAGCACTCCTAGTAGCTCTAGTAGTTCTAGTGGAACCAGTAGTAGTGAAACAGAGACTGAGACTGATAGGAGTCAAAAACAGGTACCAGTTCAGAAAACTGAAGAAGTGCAAAAAACAGAACCAGTGCAGAAAAAAGAAGACGAGAAAAAAGGTACAGTTCTAAAATTTGATATTTATGCTTGGCCTACAATAGTAGGGATCATTATGTTTTTTTTTGGTATGTGAGTCCATTCGTTCATCAATCTAGTATCAGGTGAAATTTTTGAGTAAAGGTAATTTTTTACGAAGTTGTGTGGTCACGTCTTCTTCAAACTTAATACACATGTTTATTCTAAAGTGAACATTTTAAATCATGTATCAAATTACATATTTCTCTCCAATTTTATTGATTGCAAAACATCAAATATAATAGTTCTAAACCAGTACATTCTCAGGTTAAAGCTTTTGGTTAAGGTTAGGTTTACCAAGAGGTTGAGGTCACCTCAACTTGAAACTAAGCACACATGCTCATTATGATCTGAACTTTTAAAAATTATATACCAAACTACTTTTGACCCTGATTTCAGGGTTCACTTATGTAAAGACATAGGATAGTCGGATTGTCAGCTGGCCAACATTCAAAAATATAAAAATAACATTTTACTAAACTGAACAAAATCAAACAAAACTAAACACAATTACAACATGCAAATGAACACAAATCAAATCAATGGAGATGCAAATAATGATAAAAAAAAAAAAAATGGAGATGCAAATGAAATTATAATTACAAACAAAATGTCAAAATTCAAACATAATACACACAACTAAAAGTTAGTAAAACTTAAAACAAATCAGCAAAATATGTCACATCACAGCTACTACCATACACTCTAATTGCTGTCAAGATCTAGGATATTTCAGTATTTAGAACTTCAAATAGTTTCAGATTAAATTAATCTAAATTTCACTTTGCGAAACATTTCACTGACTTAATATTGACTTTGAAATATAACACTATTAACTTCAATAAGATGTATGGCTCGCTATATATTCACTTATTTAATATTGCACTTATTTCACAGCTTTGACACTTCCAGTTGATATTATCATCACATTTTCAAACACCAACTTTTAAATATATATTTCAGATCAAGAATACAAACAGCATTTACACTATAATACCTCTGGCAATTTATACTTCACTTATATGGAAATATGAGTTTCGTGTTAATTCAAGAGAGAAAAACTATGGCTTGTTGTAATTTGCCCTGAATATATGGTAGCTGAGGGGAGATAACCCTGAAGAAAATATATTATAGTTTCTGTGTCTTTGGTAACAAATTTGTTTTGGGGTGGGGGTTTGGTGGTTAAAGTAAAATTGAGAATGGAAGCAGGGAATGTGTCAAAGAGACAACAACCCGACCAAAGAGCAGAAAACAGCTCAAGGCCACAAATGAGTCTTCAACACAGCAAGAAAATCCTGCACCCGGAGGCAGGCTTCAGCTGGCCCCTAACAACTACTTTTCAAGCACATTTCATTTTGGAATAGCCTTAGGTTTTGAACTGTTACACATTTTTCATGTCTGGACGTTTTATAGTCAACTTTATGGTATGGGTTTTACTCATTGTTGAAGGCAGTACAGTTGCCTATACATTCATAGCTGCTTAGACCCACTTCATTTGAACTCTGGTGGATAGTTGTCTCACTGGCAATCATACCACATCTTTTATATTAATAATTATTTTCTGTATTAAACTTTTTAACAACTATTTTAGACACTACAACAACAACAGATGATTCATCAAGTGGATCGTCTGATTCCTCGTCTGATTCGTCTGACAGTGAAGATGAAGATAAACAAAAGACTGCTGGTAAGTCTTCAGGAATTTATGTATTGTTCATCTACATTTATTTTACAATGAACACTCAATCTGAAACCAGTTGGGTTGCTGTCTTATTGATGTACAGCGACATCTATTTTACAATAGGCACTCAATCTGAAACCAGTTGGGTTGCCATTTCATTGACGTACATGGACATCTATTTTACAATAGGCACTCAATCTGAAACCAATTGGGTTGCTGTTTCATTGACGCTCACTGACATCTATTTGTTTACAATCATTTTAATGCAGCTAAGTGAGCTGAAGAAAAATTAGTATGGGAAAATGATTTGATCTAATAATTGGATTGATTAGATAAGCTAGAAAAATGTAGGCTAAACTATAGTTATTTTGTAGCTAGAGTACAAGTTATTGCTGAAAATACTATTTAATTCCAAGTCGATAGGGATTGTCTAAAAAACATGCAGCTCTCATCATTTCAAATATAATCTGAGACAGTTTAAGAGAGTTTTCGTAAAATTTCACTCTGAAGAAAACTTGTTATATCCAAATCACAAGGGACAAATTGTTACATGAATCAACTTAGTCAAAATAACACCAGCTTTGCATGAATCAGCATAGTTCAAATACACAACTGTTATATGAGAAATTATGTAAAGGATTTTCAAACTATCAAATGAATTGTGCAACTGAAAAAAAGAATTATCACAAAGGGACATAACTGAGAATTATCACAAAGGGACATAACTGAGAATTACCACAAAGGGACATAACTGAGAATTACCACAAAGGGACATAATCTGCTTTATATCCTGCATCTTTTGAATTCTTTATTACACATCCTAGAATGCTTAGATACAGGTGTTAATGCTAACCATTTGTTTCTTTCCTATTTTCAGGGAAGGGACAGCAGCCTTAAGAAAAAAATGGAGTTTTTACTAAAACTTTCACCTCTCTCTCTGCTCCTTGTAGAATGTTTCACTCTTTTATGTTGATGTTTTAATTGTTTTATAAATTATAAATGCATTCACTTTGAAAATCAATTTTTAATCATTAGATTTTTTTTCCTTAATTGAAAAATCATCTTAATTGATTTCGTTTGTCTGCAGTTTTTGACTTGTATGTTTGTATACATTGGTATATATATAATCATGATAACTGCCCCTGAATGTTTGTACATTTTTTTTTCTTATCCCATCGTTAATAAATGAAACTTGTACAAAAATGAATTTAGTTGTAGATATGTTTTGCATATGTCTGGAAATTATACACAAATAAAATACAAAAATCATTTTCATAATTTTCCAAGTGAATGCATTTTAAATTTTTTAATATGGGATGTAGATTTAATATTTTAATACCATTAGCTATTAGAATCAGTAATTTTATTTAAAAGTTTCTTAATATTTATAAGGTCTCAATAATTTTTTACTGATTTTATAAATTGCCATTTACCTTCAACTGTTTGAATTTAACACTCGCACACCAATGCATTGATTTATGCTTTATTTTCCATTTTTACGCATCTTTCATTAAACCTATGTTTGTGCTTATCATTATTGTTTCATTTTATTAAAAAAATCACTTCAAATCTATTTATTAATGAATTAAATATTTTTCATTTTTTCATTGATATTCAGATTTATTCCAAATTTAGCCTAAATAAATATTTTTTATTATTTTTTTTCAAAAACACTAGAAATAATTACTTAAACAAATGGAGCCAAAATCCAAATTTGAAGTCCTTCCTTTTATGTATCACTGCTTGTTCTATGGTGTATATCCATACACCAACTCACAGTTTTTATCTTGCTTTCCTAATGTGAAATATCAGCTGCTGCCCTTCCAATGATGAACTGTATGCACTGCAACTGTCATTGACCATTGCACTTTCAACAACAAAAAATTGTGTTTGTATTGTACACATCTTTCTGTTGGCTTTACTGTTACTAACCATCTCACTCCATACAACAAAATAACATATTCTCCCATTGGCTGTAGTTGATATAACAAATTCTCCCATTGGCCGGAGATGATAAAACAAATTCTCCCATTGGCTGGAGTTGATATTCAAACATCCAGGAGACTTTGCAGCCTTCATTAAAGGTAATTTTTCATGTTAACAGTTTAGAAATAATTACAATTATGGTTTAATTGTATTGCATCATGATATTCCTTGTAGACCATAACGTTACTAGGCAATATTTTTATGTGTGCAAAATTCCGGATAGTGAAATAATTCCACTAGTGCAATAACCTTAAAAGTGCAATATAACTTGAAAACAAATGTCAATCATACCGCATCTCCTTATTTTCATATTAATAGTAATTAAACATAAGTTTTCATATTATAATAAGGCATTGTCATTTAAATTAGTTTAGTTTCATGCTTCAGTCACCTATGATTCATTTCCTATATAGAAAATAAGAGTGTGCTGTACTCAGGTCCGGTACCAGTTATCGTCAGAATTTTGTAGTTTTTTTCAATTTTTTTTTTACAGGAACTTCTGTTAAAACCATTCTCTTAGCATATAAAGGGTTACCAAAAGTTAGGTTAAACCCCACACACTCAATCTTTAAATCATCTTAAAAAACGAAAATCAGTATCTTTAAGTGTGCTAATTTTGCCCTGAGATTTTATTACTACATGGAACAGTTACCGTCATTTAAGAATCTACTCAGTAAATGATAGATGTGTCCCCTTTATATGAGTATTTATGTCATATATTGCTTTTCAGTTGTATTGGAAGCAAAAAAGCAACAAAGACATAGTAAAAATCATCATTAAAGGTCAATTACTCCAATAACAGGTCGACTGAAGATTTAGGCTATGATGACTTACTTTTAGATCTTATCTTGCTGACCATTCTTGCTATTCAAAGTTTCTATCTATCTATTAAAGTGTTCAAGATAGTAGGCAATAATGCAAAAATTGGGAAAAACAGTCATGTAATGGCAATTAACTTCAATAAGGAGTCGACTAATGACAGTAAGTTTTCTAAAATCGAGGACATCATAAAGTAATGACGTATATAATGATTCATGGGAAAATTATATGCTCAATCTTGAAAATATTTCAAGTAGCTTTTGTTACATCTAAGCAATCCTACCGAGTCAGCGATCTCTTATGTTGCAGTACGTGATTAAAAATGATATATCTGTCTTTTGTATTAATAATGTACCGTAGCTTAAATAAGTAAGATTAAGGCTGATCAGGAATTTGAATATAGTGATGTCAAAAAGAATGGATAGTGACATTCCATTATGTAGAGTGTTACCATGTGATGAAAAATCCCGGGGGGGTTACTGACTATCCTTTCGGGTATAAATGTGCCGACAACACTTGTCAAATCATACCCTGTTCTAACCAGAAAACATTGAAAAACATACCCTGTTCTAAACAGAAATATTGAAAAACATACCCTGTTCTAAACAGAAATATTGAAAAACATACCCTGTTCTAGACACACTCAGAAAATGTATACCCTGTTCTAAACCGTATAAAATAGATGCTGTTCTAGACCCGGGTTCTAGACTGTATCTTAAACAGTTAAATAAGCGATCCTGTTCTAGACAAAGACTTTGTTTCAAAAAGACCGTTTTCATCAGCAGGGCATGAAAAAGGGACCCTGTTCTAACCAGCAGGACCTGAACAAGGGACCCTGTTCTAACCAGCAGGACCTGAAAAAGGGACCCTGTTCTAACCAGCAAGGCATGAAAAAGCGACCCTGTTTTGCGGCACACTCGTACCACTAAAAATATAGGAAGTAACCCCCCCCCCCCCCCCCCGGGGGAAAAATGTAAAAAATCAAGTTCAGATTGACTGCCTAATACAATGGGGGATTTGAGCAATAACACATTAGCAAGATAACGACTTGAAAGAATGTGCACAGATTGTTCCCATTGGTCCACTTATTTATTTATTTTTTCTGACATTGGTCAAGTATTAACAAAAATGGTTCTTACATGAAACACCCCGTAATAGAAAATAACTAAACATTAATTATTCTATTAAAGAATGTTTTTGTAAGAGTCTTTATGCTACAGTAATTTCTGCTTGCAGAAAAAATGAGAGAAATCCTGACCAAAGATGACGTTCCACTTAGTGAAATGCAACCAGTTGACAATCAAGAGAAGATAATCAATGATGAACCATTTATCAGTGAAAGCGAAGGAGAGCAGATGAAAGCTACAACAATATTTGCTAGTGAAAGTGAAGAAGACAATATGCATGGAGGTAAACAAAAATGAAGTTTTAGAATTGAATCACGATGCATAATTAATTGACTTAATAGAAAAACTAAGGAAATGGGGTATCCATCCATAACACAAAATCAGTACATGCACTGCAAAATACACACAAAAAGCAAAGGAACAGCACTTTTATTGTTGTTCTTCATATCAAAATCACAGTGAGGCCTTCAACACAGAGCAAAAATCTCTCACCTCACTGCAAGTTTAAGTTGGTTCTTTCATAAAAAACCAATTTGAAAGGTATAGTTTCCATAATACCTTTATTTGTTTGTCCATCCGTCTGTCCTGGCATAACTCATTTCTGTCACTTTTTTCTAAGCAATTATAATTAATAGCTTCTTGATGTCACCAATATAATCTGGTTATATGTCATACGAGGAGCGGTAGGAGGGGGTGTCATCCCGAATTCCTGAAAAAAATAATATGCTCTTAATTCCACGATCCTGAAAAATTAATCATTAATTCACTAGTCCGTATTAGTGTTAATCCTAAATTCCTGCCAAAGTAAAGACCCAATCCTGAATTCCAGCAAAAATAAAGAGCCAATCCCATCGTCATGAAAAATGACCTTCCACACCCTCTCGTACTTTGTAGTCAGTTTTCAGTTCCATAAATCTGCTTCCTGTTTGCTGAAAATTTATACTGTTATTTTATTAGTAAACATTTAAAGCAGGAGTATAATTTGCAGGTAATAGCTGACAGTACATCATTTTTGTGTTATTATACCCCCGCTCTGAAGAAGGGGGGTATACTGTTTTACCTCTGTCTGTCCATCCGTATGTCTGTCCTCCCATAAAATTCCGTCACAATTTTCTCAGAAAGTACAAATCTGATTTTCCTGAAATTTGTTATCAGTCTTCATATGAACATGCATAACTGTGTGATGCTGTTTCAAATTCATCAATTGTCAACTTCCAGTTTACCAAATACTTCTATATTCTAAGATATAATGGCTATGTACAAAACTTTCTAGGAAACTACAAATAAGAGATTTCTGAAACTTGTTTTTACAGGAAACGACCCTGACAACTTAGCTACCAGTCACACAGAAGTGAAATCTACTTTGACCAAGATTGGAATAACTCCACCTCAATCAGTGGAAGGAACTATTTTTTCTTCAATTGAAGGCAAAAAAGATTTGGAACTCAACAATATTGCCTTAAGTAGTTCACAGGTATGCGATAGTCAATAATGGTGGTGCATTTTATTTAACTAAAGAAACATTTTGAAATATTTTTAAAGATAAACAGCATGAATTTTATATAAGAGCATAAATGATATAAGCAAATACTTACAAATGAATTATAAACGTTAATCCATGTGTTGATAATTTCTGTCAATGTCCAAAGTTCAAGATTCATACATACAAGGTGTTATTAATTAAATTAAATAACATTGAGAAAAAATTCTCAACTTTACCCAACATTCATAATTGTATGTCTTCTGATCATACCCCACCTGACAGTTTTTCAGGGGGGATATATTATAGAGGAATCACCATGTCTATCTGTCTATGAATACTGATGATACCTTTAGTACTTGAAATTTTAAAGTATGACAAAAATTAAAACAAAATATATACTGAATAGGAACCAAAAAATAGATGCTAAGAGACTATTTTTTTAATTTTGTTTAGGTAACAGAAATTTGTGATGTCCTATCTAAGGGAGATAATGTACAATCTGTCTGCCTGAGAAATTCTGGGATTGATGATGAGAAGTTTAAGGTCATAGCTGATGCCTTGAAAACCACAGAATCCAAACCACTGGTTAGTTAGTTATGTACAATTAATGTCTTGTATTATGTTAATACAGCTGTTTAATGATGTTCCCTTTAAGAAGAGGGCCTTGATGGCCAAGAGGTCCAAGTAGTTCATTGACAGTTATCAGAAGTCTGTCGACACTTAGGTTGTGAGTTAGAACCTTGCCAGAGGCAAGGGGATTCAGACTGATCACTGCTTGCTGATTTGTATTGGAGATGATGTATATAGGCCTTTGTCTGTTATCAAATCCATTGCAGTCATTTTCAGAATAAAATATTCTTGAATTAAATCATAAATCTTTTATTTTTTAGTTAAATTTAGTCTTCCGTAATAACTTTAAGTGTAAAACAGATGTTTGAATAGATAGATTTACATAGTTTCTACTTCCATTTCCATTTCCTATCAGAAAAACATTGAAAATATCTGATTGTACATAGTTTTGACAAAATTTTTGTAATTTTCCTATCCGAATTGCCAATTTATTCTTATATCTGATATTCGATTACACAATAAAACTTACATTAAACATATAGGAAAGGGTTTGGTGTTTTGAAATAATATTACAATAGCCTATATATTCGTTTAGCCGAATCCAATGAGGTGGAGTCTACTGTACCAGTATGATGTGATATGTCCTGTTACAGTGTCAAACTAGATGTGTGTTAATTGATATTTTGGTATTGGATACATGATTTGTTTGTTAATTGTTATTGGGTTTGACCTAGCTTTCTGTAACTTTGAAAATTCTCAGATCATTAATTTGTGTCACAGTGTGATACCAGATAAACAACTGTCATACAAGTGGAAGGTTTAGCTAGCTATTAAACCTGGTTAAACCCACCATTTTCTTTGAAAAATGCCTGTACCAAGTAAAGAATATCACAGTTAAAGTTGTTTTCCGATGGTTGATATAGCCTGACATTTGATTTTGTCATGTTTTATGAACTTCCTCCTTTTTGAAGTTACCTTGGAGTTTTTTGCCAGAAATAGATAACAGGTCATGGCTATTAGAGAACAAATATGATAACAGTTTTACTTCAAGGATAGTTGGGGGATGGATAGGGGTACTTCATATATGTATCCTTTAATTTTTAGGTCTTTTATCTCTATTCTTTATATTTTTTGCCCATTATTCTCTATTCTTTGTAATTTAACATCCCATTATTTTCTATTCTTTATTTGTTCCCCCTATTTTTCTCTATTCTTTATTTTTTTGGTTGATATTTCTGTACATTTGGCCCATTATTCTCTATTCTTTAAACCCCATCCAGACCCTCATAATTGTATGTGACATTTATTTACTAATAGTTCGTACTGTCTTTACAGATGTTAAATTTTAACCTTAACAAGTTGAGGTCTGGTTCTGCTGACAAGCTAGTAGAAGTTTTAACAGTCAAACCATCAATACAGATACTTCTGTAAGTATACACTTAGCAGTGGCAGGCAGACCAAGGATTTTTGGAAGGGGGCATAAGTCCATTAAACTGATTAGATACCCACTAGCAGAGCCAGGTGAAAACATTTTTGGACGACTTTATGCCAAAAAATCATATAAATCATGATCAACATGAGGTTGGTTTTTTTACTATCAAAGGGGGAGGAAGGGGGGCGTACGCCTTATCCTGGATCTTCCACTGCTTAGTTACCTTGAAAATTTCTTTGGTGTTGTAGATATTTTAAACAGATAAACATACTTTAGGGATATTACTATATGTTTACACTATGTTCAAAAATACCTAGAAAATACCTTTTCCATTTGTTAGTGTAAACTTTTAAATCAACATTTTTGTCTCGCCTGCGACGAAAGTCGCAGAAAGTGAGACATAGGTATTACTATCCGGCGGTGGCGGCGGCGGCGACGTAAACTATTTGTATAAAGCTTTATATTTCAGAAGGTAGAAGACCTGGATGCTTCATACTTTGTATGCAGATACCTTATGTTATGAACTTTCCGTCTGTCATATGTCCAATGTCCTTGACCTTATTTTCATGGTTCAGCGACTGCTTGGAAAAAAAGTTTAGTTTTTTTGTTATGTAAATTTCTCACTTAATATGAGTAATAGGATAACTATATTTGGTATATGGGTTCCTTGTAACGTCTACATGTCCATCAGACAGGGTTCACCTGACCTCAGCCTCATTTCATGGATCAGTGATCAAGGTTAAAGTTACGTGATTAGGTCCGTTTCTCAGATACTACAAGCAGTAGGTCAGCTATATGTGGTGTATGGAATGATTATAAGGGATACATGTCAGTCTGGCAGGTTTCATCTGACCTTGACCTCATTTTGACGGTTCATTGGTCAATGTTAAGTTTTTGTGTTTTGGTCTGTTTTTCTAATACTATAAGCCATTGGTTAACTATATTTGGTGTATGGAATGATTGTAAGGTGTACATGTCTGTCTGGCAGGTGTCATTTGTCCTTGACCTATTTTCATGGTTCATTGGTCAATGTTAAGTTTTTGTGTTTTGGTCTGTTTTTCTAATACTATAAGCAATAGGTCAACTATATTTGGTGTATGGAATGATTGTAAGGTGTACATGTCTGAATGGCAGGTGTCATTTGTCCTTGACCTCATTTTCATGGTTCATTGGTCAATGTTAAGTTTTTGTGTTTTGGTCTGTTTTTCTAATACTATAAGCAATAGGTCAACTATATTTGGTGTATGGAATGATTGTAAGGTGTACATGTCTGTCTGGCAGGTGTCATTTGTCCTTGACCTCATTTTCATGGTTCATTGGTCAATGTTAAGTTGCTCTTGTTTGGTCCTCTTCTCAGATACTATAAGTTATAGGTCAACTATATGTGGTGTATGGAATGATTGTAAGGTGTGCACGTCTGTCTGACAGGTTTCATCTGACCTTGAGCTTATTTTCATGGTTCATTGGTCAATGTTAAGTTTCTGTTGTTTGGTCTTCTTCTCAGATGCTATAAGTAATAGGTCAACTATATTTGGTGTATGGAATGTATTTTATTATTTAACTGCTGATTACTTACGATGAAATAGATTATTTTATAAAAATCTTTAAATAACATTAATAATGATAATAAATAATAAAAACTTTTAAGGGATCATTACTAAACCATGATTAACAAAAACATTGGAAGGTGTGAAAATGTTAAAATAAGGTCACTCATGCATGAATGTTTAACATAGAATACAGTTCACTCCAGTCCCTTCATAAAGATTAATTGGCTGAATATGTACAGATTGAAGAACTTTTGAAATTTTGTTTGCACAACAGAATCACATTTACTGATTTTTGATACATATGAAATAAGATAAGTATTGAGATAAGTAAAAAATACAAAGTTTCTGTCAGTCATATGTCCATTGTCCTTGACCTCATTTTCTTGGTCCAGCAACTACTTGGAAAAAAAACTGTATGGTTTTTGTAATGTGATTTTCTCAATTATTATGAGTAAAATGATAACTTTATTTGGCATGTGCGTACCTTGCATGGTTCACATATCTGTCAGACATATTTCATTTGACCTTGACATCATTTAATGGATCAGTGAACAAGATTTAGTTTTCATGATAAAGTCCATATCTCAAATTCTATCACCAATAGGTCTTCTATATTTGGTGTATAGAATGATCGTAAGGTTCACATTTCCAACTGGCAGATAAGTGATAAGTTCATAAAATTTTCTGTATGGAATGAATGTTATGTGTATATGTCTGTCTGACAGGTGTCATCTTACCTTGACCTCATTTTATGGTTCATTGGTCAAAGTTCAGTTTCCTCAATGAGGTTTGTTTCTAAGATACTTTAGGCAATATATGTTAAATAAATTTGGTGTATGGAATGATTGTACGGCCTACATATTTGTCTGATAGGGTTTATCTCACCTTGACTTCATGTTCATTCATCATTAAAATGTTAATTTAATGTAAAGCTTATATAAACTTATTTTTTTTACTTTCAACATAAATTCAATTATGAACACTAAAACAGGCGAGACATTTCAGTGTGTCCACTCTTGTTATATAAATAAACATTTTTGACACAAATGACTTGAATATATTTTCCAATTTTAATAACAATGAAGTGGACAGGTAGATACACAAACTGTCGTTAGCGATATGTATGTGGATATACGTTTAGCTTGAAAATACCCTGAAAAGTATAGTTCCATACACAAGTTGGTGGTATTTTAACAACTAATACTTGTAGATAATATGCTATTGGTATACTCCTACAAATGCCCTGAAATTCTTGTTTGGCTTTGAAGAGTGTGGTAGTTTTAGTTGAAAAGTGGTCAGTAAAGGGTTTTGCAATACTGTGGATTCATTTTTATTCGTGGTATACCAATTTTCGTGGGTTTCGTGGGTCACAGCGAACCACGAATTTAAGAATTCAACGAAGAATAATACAGAGAAATGTGTATGGAGTCGGATGTTTATTTCCAGTTATGTTATGCAGTTCTAGGATAGTGTTGATTAGCGATAAACATTGTAACATAACACATGTTTTTCTTGAAAGAAGATACAAGTATTTTGATTAAATCAATAATAAATATATCGAATATCAGTGACAATTTACTTTTTAAAATTGATTGAAACTGTTCATGGAAAATAAATGCAAGTTGTTAATTACCGTGTCATAGTTTGGTTTACTGGTGATTAAAAATCAATAGGATTAACGGTGCGGGGATATTGCCCGTAGGTAATATTATTTATGACAGGAACATTTATTTTCACACCTTTTACTTATACTTATATATTATATCGTGATTAGGGAAATGAGCTTTCGATCATAGAGTTTTAAATGTCTTATAAAATTCCGACAAGAATTTATAAATTGTAAAACAAACAAATAATTAGTTGTCTCTGTCCATTATTGTAATAGAAGTTTTCAATGAACACTTTAACCTAGAATGACCAAGCGAGGATTTTGACAATTCAAAACCTTTTCAATGAATTCTTTCTTTTTTGTTTGTTTTATTATTGATCAAACCAAGGAGGGTATATGATCTCCTAAATTAAAAAGAAATCCACGAATTACGTATCGGATTTTTTTTTTTTTTTTGTTATCAGCGATCCACGAATTTACGTATACCACGAAACGCCTTTTTTTCTCTATCCACGTAAATTGATACCCACGAAAATAAATGAATCCACAGTAAACCATTTTATTAAATTCTAGGTTACATGGAAATCCTCTTGGAGATGATGGTGTGAAGCAGTTAGTTAATGGTATCCTTGACATCAAACAGGCTTCTAATAAAACGGAAGAACAGGCAGTAGATGGAGCCAGAACAAGGGAGACAACTAAGCATCATTTACTGAGGGAACTGGATTTAGGAGATACAGAGATTGGAGATGAAGGAATGGGGCATGTTGCGTATCTCCTGGAAAACGATTCTGATCTGAAGACACTGAATTTAAATGGAAATTCAAAAGTCACATACACTGGCTGGAAAAGATTGTCAAAAGCTTTAAAAAAGAACAAAACTCTTCAATCATTGACTCTTGATTTCAATAAGATTGGGGATGAAGGGGTTGCTGCCCTTGTCAACAGTTTGAAGGTCAATGCCAATCTACAAACACTTGACCTTGAATCTACAGGTATCTCTGATGAAGGTGGACGACTGCTAATTGATCTGGTTAAATGTAACACCACCATTTTAGATATCACCGTCATGCCGGGGAATAAAATCTCGGAGAAAACACAGGAGGAGATTAGAAACTACCTTGGACTTAATAAAGCGGCCTCAACCAAAATGGTGTCAACTCTGAAATAATTTTTGTGACTTTTGCTTCACTGTGAACTTTTGCCAAAATGTTATATATTTTATTGACCAAAATTTTGCATAAAAAAGATGAGTGACAGATCAAAATTATATAACTTGCTTTATTTAATTTACAATAATTGTAAATCTATTAGGAATAGATAAACCCTTAAGTTTAAACAAAAATCTTCTCATTCAATCATCTCTATCCATGACTGGTTGTTACCCTTGGTGCATAACTATCTGTGAATGCCACACATACTGTATGGAGATGTTTGCAAGACAGCATATATTTCTTCAGATGGAGTAGCTGTTGGCACAAAATATTTAAAATTTAAGATTTTTTTTAAATTCCTGAGACAGTTGCCTTTTTTAAATTTTGAAACTTTTAAAGCGTTTACATAGTGTATCTAGGTCAAAGGACAATAATATATGAATTATAAACAGAAAAGATTTGTTTTAAGGACGTAGCATGGTCAATGCTTTGGTGTAGGTTGCTTTGGCTTTAATCATTTTTGCTACATGTAGACACTAGTCATCATTTTATAGATTTTATGTATAAATAATTAAGATTATGATTTTATATAATAATTTGTGTTAGATTTATATGTGTAAGGAGGTAAATACACTTAAAAGAATAAGAAAATAGAACTGTGAAATGAACGTATCTTATTTTTAGACAGTGAAATATTCAAAGCAAATGACATTTATTATGTTTAGGATATTAGTAATTGTATATACTGGTTATATTTATAAAATAATTGTTAAAAGAATTATATTCTGTTAATTGGACTTATCTGCTTCTCAAAAATAAAATCCTAACAAACGAGTCTTTAATTGTTAGTTACCTCCTTAAATCCTGACTTTGAATTGATGAATCTATACCAATGGAAACTTGAATTATAACAATTGAGATAACTTATAAAAATCCAACAATTTTGAGGCAACTTTTAGAATTGTAAAAACTGGGAATATATTATTATAATTCATGATTGTTACATTACATTCCAATACTGTGTCAGATTATATTTATTATACAACTTTTTATATATTTATGAATTATTAGTTTCCGTCCAAATTTTTGAATTTTTTATTCTTATTTTTACTTTTTATGTTAATAATAGATATTTTTTAGTCATTTAATACATGCTAGGAAAAGTGAAATGAGAAAATATCTCTCTATATTGTATATATTTTTGAGAACAATTATGTCTTGTCAGCAGTAAGGAAATTATATTAAAACATTCTATTTTTTTTAATGAAATTGGAGCTCATGTGTCTGAATCTTCCTGATGTAAGTACAAGAAAAGACTGATCTACTTGAGGATCATCTTACATGTGTTATTTGATTTTAGGCAATCTATCCAACAGATGATTGAACTCATTTCCTAAGAACTTATTTAATCATGAATAATTTTATTGTCTAAAACTTTGCAAAACATGTTCAAATGCAAATTTTTGTCAATTTCCTCATGGGACATTTCTCCTAGACCCTATAGTGTAAATATTACTTATGTTCACATCATAGTGTCTTGCCTGAATATAGTTATGTTTTTTGCAGCTCTTGAAAATTTATGAATTTTAATGTCATATAAACTATTTGTGGTTGATATTTCAAAATATAATTAGATTTGCATCACGTATTGGAACGTTTTTAATATGATATAAACTATATAGCTTCAACAAAATATAATTTAGTTTGCATAACTCATTGAAATGTCTGAATTTAAGGTTGCATTTAAAAAAACATCAATTGAAATTTTTAAAAATATGTACTAAAAAATTGTCCTTGTATGATTTTTATTTACTATTAAGGTATGCATGGTATGTGATACTCTGCTGACTTGTAAAAGTGATTCAATTGTATTCCATAGAATGTATTGTAATATTTACATAGTTGTTTTACTCTACCCGTCCACAAACAGTAATGATACAAATTCAATGTATTGTAAATTTGCTCATTTAAAAAAATGATTGTGATATTTATTGTTGACAGAAAAATCAAGGTTGTGATTTGTGATTTTATTTTTATTGAAATTTAATTAAATTTTGTTTATTTATATTTTCAATCTTATATAGAGATATTTATATACAATGTGTAAAATAAAATGAGGGTAGATTAGGGTTGTGACTATTTGTTGATAGTTATTTGCTAATCAAATTGACATGGAAAGTCCCCGATTTTGGCCTCATTTTCAGTTAGTTTTTAAAAACTTGTCTTTTTTGCTATGAACACATTATGAAAAATATATATTTGTGGTTTTGAACTGTAACATCACGAATGTGTAGTTTCAAAGAAAGAAATTAAAATTTTTTTTTTTTTTTTTGAATCAACTTTTTATCTCTCAAAATGAAATATGATTCTGATATTCCCATAAAAATATATTTGGGAAGAATACAGCAATTAAATAAAAATTGTGCAACACTTTATCAATATTCAGAAACAAGAACTAAATATTTTGACCATTTTTCCCAATATTTTAATTTTTCAGTCAGTTTTAGTTGAGATTTATATGGATAGATAACATTGGAAATAATTTGCTGCTTAATTTGATTGAATTCATGTATTTTTCTGTTTTATTATGACATGACAATAATTCTGTTTGATGTGATATACATGAAAATTTATAACAGTTATAAACATTCCTGAATCTTAATTTTAAACAATATTTGGACATCATGCTTAATTATTTGTTGTGGAAGCTACATATTTGTTGTAATATTACAGGATGAATTGTCTGATTTATTACAGGGTCATGTTGAGGTGTAGCGTTCATGTTTATGCTACATTACATATTTAACATTTTATATCAAAGATTTAGATTGGGAGAAGACTTCATGCTCTCATTTTATTGTGACAGTTGAAAACATGATAAAGCAAGCATATTTTGTTGCTTCAAAAATAGAACATTTTTGAAAATAAACGAACAAATTTGGAAAAATTGTTATTGTTGAGTTTTACTTAATATTTACATTAAATTGATATTGATGAAGTATATGAAATAAGGATTTAAAATTAATTTTAATTTTTGCATTTTCAAAAAGTGGTTTTTCAATTTTTGAAATTTTTTCACATTTCACTTATATTCCTATCACTGATAATGTAAAATAACTGAATATTTTTATTAAGAAGTGATCATGTTACATTTTCATACCACTTGTTCTAAAAAAGACTGTTATTGATATGAATTCAAATCGTCTCTACATGAAATCGAATGTGATTCATGTGAAAATAATTTAATATTGATATGAGTTGTAATCGTGTCTACTTGAAATCAAATGTGATTCTATTACCTGTGATAACAACATTTCTGTGGATTGAAATGTAGTGCCAGATGTTTTTGTCTGTAGAATAAACATAAATCTCAAACTGTATTCTTTATCTTTGATGATTTTTACAACCACAGGGTTGATGCTACAGCTGGTGGACATTTCCTCTTGGAGGGTATCATTAGCCAATTGTCAGCAATTTTGTGTTGACATGAAAAATCATTGATACGTTCATTTTCTATAAATTAACGGTATACCTGTATAAAAATGTTGAATTATTGGAAACACTAAGGTTTTTTCTACCCCAGGATTACAATTGCTTTAGTCCTATTTGTCACAACCTTTTGAAAATGTTTGTTTTTAAAGCTCTACATCTTTGTTTTTGATTTGGCCTTCCAACTATGTTTTAATTTAGCGCCGCTTTTGAGTCTTATCTAGACAAAACGAGCATCTGGCGTACAAAATTGATGCCTGGTATCTTTAATGAGTCTTATTATACCCCATGGAACAAAGTTCCGTAGGGTATAATGTTTTTGACCCGTCGGTCCGTCTGTCAGTCTGTCCGTCAGTCTGTCCATCAGTCCTGTTCTTGTCATCGCAACTCCTCTGAAACTACACAACAGAATTCCCCGAAACTTTGTAGATAATAAAGACATACTATGTAGATGTGCATATCGACAGGAAGTAATGATTCTATTTTTTTTCTGGGAGTTATGCCCGTTTGAACTTAAATATTGGCCTAACTACTGCAACATTTCGTCATCGCAACTCCTCTGCAACCACACAACAGAATTTCCTGAAACTTTGTAGATAATAAGGACATAATATGTGCATACTATGCACAGTAAAACTCAGTTTAAAAGAAGTCCGAGTCCGATGTTAGAATAGGTAACAGAAGAAACTAAGCAAAATGACAATGATCAACATAAATTAACAAAGGACTACTAGCAGTTACTGACATGCCTGCTCCAGTCCTCAATTAAACTGATTGAAAGATTATGTCTTCATTGAGAAGAACATAACCCGTATCATGCCAACAACTGGTTTTAGAATAAATGTGTTTATTTCCAATGCAAAGACCCTATGAGTAAATCAATATCAATTCAAAAAAATGCCATCTTTAATAACCTGACAACAGTATTGTAACTATATCCCTTCTGAATAAGTCTGTTTAAAGGTTTGATAAGCTTTTGAGGTGAATGACGACATGTTTGTGCTTTGTATAGAATATTACCACAAAAGATTGGATGTGAAATACCCGAACGTATAAGATGTCTACACGTTGATTTATGTTTACGAATGATGTCCTTGTACCGATGATTAAATTTAGTAAATGTTTTGACAAGTTTGTGATATCGAAAACCCTGGTGTAATAATTTTTCAGTAACACGGCGATTTCTTTTGTTAAAATCAAATACGTTGTTACATACACGAGCGAATCATACAAGTTGAGATATATAAACACCATAAGATGGTGACAAGGGAACGTCACCATCTAAAAATGGATAATTAACAATAGGAAATGAAAAATCATCTCTTTTATCGTAACTTTTGGTATAAGCTTCCCGTTAAAGATATAGATATCAAGATCCAGAAAAGGGCAGTGTTCATTGTTAGTATTAGCTTTATTTAAAGTAAGTTCAGTGAGATAAATTTCTTTAGTGTACATACTGAAGTCGTCATTATTGAGAGCCAATATTTAAAAGTGTTATCAAATTTTTGTATGTTGTTTCGATGGGTCTTTGCTGATTTTAGTCATAAATTGTAACTCGTAACAATACAGAAACAGGTCCGCAATAAGTGGTGCAGTTAATCCCATTGGAATTCCGATAACTTGACGATATACGGAATCTCCATAGCGAACAAAAATGTTATCTAGTAAAAATTCAAGTGCAGTTATCGTTTCAAAGCAGGTTCAATTGACATAGTTCTTTTGTTTGTTGTTACTAAAAAATGACATATAACAGTTTGAACATATATATTCGCATTCTGACTTTTTAAATGCCCATTTAATTAGGGTTGTGAATTTTTTCTTAATGAGATTATGAGGCATAGGTATATAGGTTAGCAAAATCAAAACTTTGAACATATTCGAAATCACCAATGTGAGCATGCAATTTATCAAGTACTTCAAACGAATTTTTGACACTCCAAAAGTAATTGATTCTACTATTTTCAAATGCCTTATTTAAACAATTTATTACTAGGTTTTTGATTGTACCAAGTTTACTAGTAAGTGACAGTTCAGTAGTGGAACAATGGCTTGAAGACGAAATAAATCTATATTTGTAAGGTGTTTTGAGGTTGTTAAATTTGATGTATGCCTTTTTGTGCTTCTTTGTTATATTTGTTTGTTTTTATAGTGATTAAGATGATAACACAATGTTAACTGCTGTATTCCTATTTTTGACATTTTTACCTATTGTCTGTTTGTTTTGTTCACGCATCGTTGTCAATATAATGGAATTTGATGCGACTGTCATACAAGTGAGAGGTTTAGCTAGCTATAAAACCAGGTTCAATCCACCATTTTCTACATAAGAAAATGCCTGTACCAAGTCAGGAATATGACAGTTGTTATCAATTCGTTTGATGTGTTTGAGCTTTTGATTTTGCCATTTAATTAGGGACTTTCCTTTTTGAATTTTCCTCGGAGTTCAGTATTTTTGTGATTTTACTTCTTTTTTTTTTGCAGCTTCCGAAGCCAGTCCATAGTTGGAACTTTCATGTTAATCGGTGCTGCTTGTAAAGAGGTAGCTAAAAGTTTATGTTTGTTACAGATGTCATTTTCCGAAAATAGAGTCAGTTGGAATGTTGGTGAATTCGTGTTTTCTTTTTTTGCAGAATCTCATTGTAAAATTTACGTTAAACAATAATGATATTATTGGCAGCCTTATCAGCCGGGACAAAACAAATTCCTTGGCGGGTTCTTTCAGCTTATGTTTGATCTGAGACTACTATATATAACACATGTAGTATAGAAGTCTCAGGTTTGGTACGAGGAATTGAGCTATTATGGTTGTTGTTACGAGTAAAAAGTTCTTTAAAATGTTTAATAAGAATATCAACTATGTCAGGGGCGGATCCAGCCATTTATAAAAAAGGGGGTGGGGGGGGGGGGGGTGTCCTAACCCAGGATAAAAGGGGGGGGGGGGGGGGGGGGGGTTCCAACTATATGTCCCCATTCAAATGCATTGATCGTCAAAAAAAGGGGGGTTCCAACCCCCCCCCCCCCCCCCCCCCCCCCCCTCGATCCGCCACTGTATGTGCATTACTGAATTGAAAAAAGAATATAAGGATTTTTTGTCAGCTTTTTCTCGTTTTATCCATTTCGTGCAGTAAGTACAGAGTGAGTCGTGGATGATTTTACTTCACTCATTCCAATTAATAATTGACGGGCAGTGGCGGATTTACCGGGGGGCACAGGGGCACGTATCCCCCCTCCCCCCAGTCGGGTTCACAAAAAAAATTCTAACATAATTTTATTGCTACGTACTGATTCGGCTTATCTGCATCAAAAATAAAGTCACAGCTTGATTTGACTTCCTTAACTGGCTGTTAATTAACCCCAGCTTCAAAATGCATGATTTATGACAACTTATCGATGGGTGTGTAAATATTGACACGTATGTGTAATATCTATATCCAAATGCAATTTATGTAAATTACATGTACATGCTGATTGGAATACGAATATTTTTATTGGTTTCTAATACAATATTACAGGATAAAGATTAACAAGTGAAATCTTTTAGTAAAAAATTACCAACAAAAATCGGTCTTTAAAGAATAGGTACCGACTACGAATAGATGTTTAGTGTCAAGAATGTTAGTTTCGATATGAGATACGTCTTTATTAACAAACACTCACACTGTATACAGTTTCTGGGGAATACATATTTCGGACGTTATTATACAAACGACCTTTTTAATAACAAACAGGAACATTTTTTTAACACTGAATGTCGAGTTTTTTCCCCCCTTATTTTTAATGGAAACCAACAATTATTTTAAAAAAAACCTTCCCCTCCACAAATCATGAATGGTCATGTGTGCCTTATATAATATGATCATTAAAAAAATGCTATTGTATTTTTAAAAGACCTACTTTTTAACATAAACAGTGATATATATATATTTTTTCTTGTTTCAATTACCATGTATGAGGGTATGATTGAGTTACCGTGAGTGAGGGTTTACATATTAGAGAATAATGGTCAAAGATTAGAAAAAAATGAACCCCAAAATTATAAAAAAAAAACAGATTAAAGGTGTGATGAAATATAAAGAACAATTGGCAGAAAATCAAAGAGTATAAAGAACAACAAAATGAAAAGATATAGAAATGAAAACCCTTCTCCCCCCCCCCCCCCCCCCAAAAAAAAAAACACCACCCCCAACACACGCTACCACCACCACCACCACACACATTCGCATATATATACATATCTAAACAAATGTTTAATTTTGGTTTCATGGTGCCCCCCAGACATCGAGGTTCTGGATCTGCCCCTGACGGGGGACGATATTTAGGTCCTTTACTGAGGAATGACTTCAACCAACGGTCATGGACGATGTTAAGGTCTCCTGTTATAACATGGGAACTGGGGCCATACATGTATTTGGAATTACTGCAATTAGCATTGCTTGTTAGTTAACTACTCGATCAAGGCTGCCAAACCCTGGGTATATATCATTGATTGTCAGCTACTCGATCAAGGCTGCCAAACCCTGGATATATAGCATCGCCTGTCAGTTAGCTACTCGATGAAGGCTGCCAACCCCTGGATATATAGCATCAACTGTCAGTTAGCTACTCGATGAAGGCTGCCAAACCCTGGATATATAGCATCCCCTGTCAGTAAGCTACTCGATCAAGGCCGCCAAACCTTGGATACCGGTATATAGCATCGCCTGTCAGTAAGCTACTCGATCAAGGCTGCCAAACCTTGGATATATAGCATCGCGTGTCAGTTAGCTACTAGATCAAGGCTGCCAAACCCTGGATATATAACATCACTTGTCAGTTAGCTACTTGATCAAGACTGCCAAACCCTGTATATATAGCATTGATTGTCAGTTAGCTACTCGATCAAGGCT